TCGTGCTCTCTATAAGCCACACAAGTTGTGTCTAAATTACTTAAGCACAATTATTTCCTTATCCCGTTCAAGTTGGACACAAAACTATTGTGTCTTCTCTACATATGACACAAATACTACATATATGTGATTCAGAAGGACATGACCCACTTTTTTGTGGAATTTGGATCGTGATTTTTGCCCAATTTTATAGTAGTGCATATTATAACACGTGTATACCACGGGACAATACAACTGTATTATTCTATAATTTCTCCTTAATTTGATCACCTCTCATTTCAAGATAACAATGAGCGCATTCCCGCTTTATACAGATGCATATGGTGTTTTTCAATCGCAAACTTTATCATAGATTATAAAGATTGTGCTGAGCAATCAATGGCCTCTCGTGTGGTCCAAATCTATCTATATTTATAAAAGGGCCTCCTGTTGTTGACACCATAATTAAGCAGTGGCATGTTTTGTCCATCAGGTTTCTTATTGGACGCCACAAATTTTAACCCTATGTTGCTTATAATGGGGATTGAGCTCATACCAATCAGAAATCTTGTTGAAGCTGTTCCCTTGAAAAGAATTAATAAACTTGGAAGTCTCCTTTGTTGAACCTAACATTTCAGGTATGTGTGTGGGAGTAGGAGACATGGCCATGGTCGACATCCATCATTTTGTTCGGCAACCACAAATAATTGAAGTTATGAACCAATGACAAGGGAAAAAGTTCAACCATGGGTTATTTATAGTTTTTAAAATAAATAAATAAAAACTAGCCGTCCATTTTTGTAAACTGAAAAAAAATATAACAGTCCAAAAGAAAAAGTGAAAATATATTTTTATTAAAAAGAAAGCTTAGGCTTCTAGCTAAAAATCAAAACTTTGGTTACTCAACTTAAAAGACATGGAAAGGAGATTAAAGAAAAGGAAAAGACATGCATGCCCAAGTGGAAAGAAGCCAATAGCTTCTTGGTACATTATTAATAGATACAAATAAATACTTAAAAGCTAATTGTATGATTCTGTCTTAATTAACTTTTTATATTAGAGACTAATCAAGTGGTTTAAAGCATCAAAAAGCTGAATTTGAAAGGATTGATTAACTTTAACTTTTTTTCCAATTATCTTTAAGTGTTGCATTGCAACCATCACCACCATGCTGCCCATTAAGCAAAGGGAATCTATAAATAAGAATTAATATTTACAAAAATGAAGTCAAAAAAAAAGAAAAGAGAAGATCAATGGAAGTAGAAATATTCTTCGTTTCCATTTGTGGTCAGCTTAGTCAAATGAATCCCCAAATGAAAAAGGATCCGTACGTAGTACAGCTGAAATGGATTCTAAACTCATGGCTTTGTGCAGATGTCTTGTTGTAAAGGATGGCACACAGACACATCCGTTGATCGACCCCAAAGGGCAGGGCTTAACGCAAAAGAAGAAACCAAAGGTGCAAGGTATGAGATTACTTTTGAAAAAAGAACCATAAAAAAGTTGAGGAATAAAGTAGTTAAGGGAGTGCTTTTGGTATTACCGATCAACAAAAGCCTTTTTTGATACAAGAAATATCGGAAAAGGAGATCAAATCTAAGACTTCGAGTGCATGAATAAATGCTCTTAATCATTTGAACTGCAAGCTACTTGCACAAAAGCTTTTTTAAATAGTGTTTTGCTGAATACGCAAACAAATTTTTTGCTACTGGGTTCTTCTTAAGTGCTTATTGAATTAGTGTTTTTAGGGAAAAATAGGAGATTCCCTATTTTAATGACATTCTTGTTTTTGTTCACAATGCTCTAGAAAGAATCAAAGAATCAATCATCATTCTCAAACTACCTAAAATGACAAGATCAACTTATATGGTAAACTTTATCGCCGATAGTATAACTGGTTTTTCCCCCAAGTTCCTCAATCTTGGTCGGGGGAATGTCCCATTACTTGGAGGTATAGGTGTCCTAATTATTGTTCCCTACATGCCACGTAGGTGCCTTTCCTTTCTTTAACCCTACTAATACTAATAGAGTAGTAGATCAGTTCGATAATTCTCATTCAAGATGAATAAACAACGCTTTCCAAGGTTCTTATATAATCATATTCCATTTGCCTATTAATAATAGATAACAGGACCATATTATATAACGAAATAAACAAGAAATTATGGCATGTTTTGATGAAGTTCATACTAGCGTTGGTGTGAGATTTTGTAAATAAGACAAGAACTAGGTGCATGCATGTTATGGAAGAAATGGATTGCCTCAATTCTCATGTGTGCGTGGAGGGTTTAGGGCACGGGCACCTTCCATTTTTCAGGACAAAATCTGATTAAAGATCCATAATTTCCCAATAAGTTCAACTTAAGACAATTAAATGGACTAAATATTACCTTCCCACTAGTATAATCTAAATCTAAAGTGAGCTGACATGAGTTTAGCTAAGTTGACTGCACCCGAATTTTAATTCCTCTCCCTGTAATTTAGATTAGTTTAAAGTGAGCTGACCAAGTTTAGTGGTCCGGCCGGACTTAGGCAGTAATTAGTTTAGAGTCTGAATAAAATATTGAATCAAACATTTTGATAAATTATAGCTTTTAGGGTTTAGCTTCATTAGTAGTCTCTGATATTCCAATTAAGCCTCACTTGTACGTATAAACAGAGCAAGCACATATATAGTTCCAAGTTCCAACTTATTTATGCATATTATTCGAGTGCAGAATTGTCCTGGTATATTTTATTTCACTAGAAGAAAAAAAAACCCATCTTATTTTCAGACAGACATTACAATAATGCGACAATAGAATTGATTGGATAAAGCCAAAATTTAGGTGGACATAGACAGAGTGATGCGCATGCTTATTATATGCCATAGCCATTTTCACTAAGCTGCACAGTGCACACTATATAAATAAATATATATTTATGTGTGTATATAATTCAAGGCCTAGGGATATGCAAGTTGATCAAAGTTGCTCTGTTTTGCTCTGTTTTCCCCTGTTTTCCACTCTCCATGTTTCAGTGCGGCATTTCTTGGTTGCTCTTTCTTCTTTGCAATAATAGCAAGTGAAAGGTCAAATACTCGCTGCCTTGCTGCCATTGCCGAGGAGGAGAACTAGCAGCTGCGAAGACAAACAGGCTCCCAAGACCCCAAAAGTGACAGACAGACATCACAGACAGCTTAATTTGGGGCTTTGAAAGTAAATACAAAGGTCTGTGGCTCTGATTTTGTAATGATTTTTTTTTTTTTTTAAAGTAAAACTTTGGGTTATGATTATGATTATGATACGTACATATTGGGTTTTGTTTAGTTGATGTTTATTAATTATTTGGAGGAGGATTTTTTTTCTTTTTTTTTTTTGGTTTGGTTTAATATATGTGTTTATATTATACATAGAAAATGCACATAGGACCCCATTGGACAAGGCGTCTCTAAAACTGGACCGTGGGCCGTACTTTTTATAGGATTGTTTTTCTTGTGTCGTCGGATAAACATGTGCTTGCCTAGTACTGAATCTCGAGGAATTATAAATGGTGGTCATCACCCTCTGATTCCAAAGCATCATGTAGTTGAGGACTATAATGGAGACTTGACAATGAGAGCTAGAGGCGAAGGCGGCGCCACCACCACCACTTCTTCTTCTACTTTCATTCAGACCTTCCTTCAACGCCTCCACCAGCTCCCCAATAATGGCCTTCTCGAAGGACTTCCACTTACTGAGGTATGTACCCTGTAACCCCCTCATCCCTCCCTCTTTCTCTCATTCAAATGTTCCGGCATGCATCATACTATGTCTGTCTCTCGACATTAATATAGCGTCATAGGAATTTATCTGTACTTACAGTCTATGTGACATGCCCAACAGTCACACGTGAATCATCTTGAGCTTTAAAGATGTTATGTTATGTAAAACTATTTATGTTTTTTAATCATTTTAAGTGGAAATACACAAGTAAGTGATCGGCTTGCATTTGCCCAAAGAATAACCATAGTATGAGCTAAAGGGCTTAGGAGCGGAACTTCTTTCATGCCTCTGAGGCTAACAGGGAGCAAGTTTCAGAAGGAGCTATACCTTTTTACACACACACGTCTGGCCCCACAGGCCCACACTCACACGAGTGAAAGGACCAATTTGGAACCTGCATGGGTCCCATGATGTTTTTGTAGGAACACGTAAGCGCCCAATTAAGAAATAATTAATAACCACAAACCTCCTAATCATAACAGCATGTTCAGGTATTGGTCCTCCCCAAATGCCTCCCAGTCTAAGCTATGCTTCATTTTCTCAACACAAATTAGGCTCGGCGTAGTTTTGCAGCAATGAATTAACCAAAACACAATGCATTTCTCGAGTCTTGCAGCTAAACTGATTGAGAACACAAGTCTGACAGATTCCAGCTTGTGATTAATTAAGAACAATATCAAACATTACTTTCATATCATATAATACTAGTCATAGGTGATAACCTTAATTACTCTCAGCTCCAAGTAGAATCATTCACATGACAGCTTTAGATTCTTTTGACGTACGTTGACAATTTTTTTTAATTAGCTTCATCTGTAAAATAGCCAGTGCCCTAAAAAAGTTCACGAATATACCTCACCAACTTCACCTTTTGCCCACTTGCAACTTTTATAACGCATGAAAAGGTCCAAATTGATTGTCAAATGGCTATAAAAATTCTAAAGCTCACTTTTAGACTGCATTTCAGTATTCTAGGACCTTGGGACGAACAAAAGTGACATAGAATTGCTGTTTTTTCACGTGTATATCTGTCATTTTTTGTTTTTTTTAATACAAACGATAATTTAAGATATAAGGGGGTTCTCAAATACACATACTATCAATGTGTCATAGAAATTCAAAGTTCAAACCATAAACTCTATATCTCTCACTTAATCTCTCTCTCTCTCTCTCTCTCTCTCTCTCTCTCTCTTAATGTGTGTTTTTTTATATATAGGAGAAGAGAGAAGAGATGGGGTGAAGAGCTCTCTCTCTCTCTCTCTCATAATGTGAATCTTTATGTAGATAGGAGAAGAGTTAAGATCGTTGGTAAAGATTGGGGGGCCAATAGTGGTGACATCTATGCTCATATATTCAAGGTCTGTAATTTCAATGCTGTTCTTGGGGCGTCTTGGGAAAACAGAGTTGGCTGGAGGGTCATTGGCTCTAGGGTTTGGAAATATTACAGGCGTCTCAATCCTCAGCGGCCTCTCAATGGGAATGGATCCAATTTGTTGCCAAGCTTATGGAGCCCAAAGATGGGGAATTCTCAGTCAAACTTTTCAGAAAACAGTTTGCCTCCTCCTCCTTGTCTCCATACCCATTGCACTTTTGTGGCTCAACATGGAGCCCATCTTTATATTGTTGGGTCAGGACCCTCAGATCACAAGAGTTGCCAAAGTTTACCTGGTTTTCTCCATCCCTGAATTGCTAGGTCAAGCTCACCTCCTACCATTAAGAACCTTCTTGAGAACACAAGGCCTAACAACCCCACTAACCCTAGCAGCTGCATTTGCAGCCCTCTTGCATTTGCCTATCAACTATGTTTTGGTCACATACTTGAATTTAGGGGTAGGAGGTGTTTGTTTGGGCCTTGCTTGCAACACCTTACTATTTAATTTGGGCTTGCTCATTTACCTGACTATCTCAACCCATGCTTTGAAACCTTGGCATGGGCTTACCATGATCTCGGCCTTTCAAGGATGGAAGCCATTGATAAGTTTGGCATTGCCCAGTTGTGTTTCGATGTGCTTGGAGTGGTGGTGGTACGAAATAATGTTGTTCTTCTGTGGCTGGTTGAGTAACCCAGAAGCCAGTGTAGCAGCTATGGGGATTTTAATTCAAACCACAGGGATGTTGTACATTATCCCAATTTCTTTAAGGGCATCCATATCGACACGTGTGGGCCATTCGTTAGGAGCCGGGCAACCGACCCGGGCCAAGTGGGCTGCCATAATTGGGCTTATTGTGGCATTTGCTTGTGGGCTCTCAGCATTCATCTTCATGACTGCTGTGAGGTCCAAGTGGGGGACTATATTCACAGATGAGCCACAAATTCTTGATCTGATTTCAACTGCACTGCCAATTCTGGGCCTGTGTGAAATTGGCAACGTTCCTCAAACAGCTGCCTGTGGAGTGTTATCAGCTACTGCAAGACCTAAACTTGGAGCCAGAATAAACTTGTATGCATTTTACCTCATTGGATTGCCAGTTGCTATTCTTGGAACTTTTACATTCAAAATTGGGTTTCTTGGGCTTTGGTTTGGGCTACTTTCAGCGCAGGCTTCTTGTGTGTGTATGATGGTGTACACATTGATTCACACAGATTGGAAGCACCAAACAAGAAGGGCTGAGCAGCTGACACTGGATGTGCAAGAGACTCAACAGAATGAGGAGAGAAAAGAGGATGAAGAAAGTGGGCTGCTACCTCCTACTGAGCTCTGAGTTTACAAAATATCAAACTTTCAGGGATAATTTTACATAGACAAACTCAGTACAAATTAATCATATTTGGTCAGAAATCACAATTTTTTTTTTCTCTTTTTTTTGGGGGTGTTTACATCATTGGAAAGAAACAAAAAAATAAAAATTACTTGGTCATTAATTATTAAATGTAATGTTAATACATCATTTTTCCTTCACATTTCCCATAGATTATCCTTTATATAGTATGAAGAAATATTAATGTAAAAAAATAAATTTAAAAAGGCCATATCATTTACACAGTTGATATTATGTGAGGACATTTTTTGTTAGATGAAAAACTTGTAAGGTTACATGAATGACATACCAAAGATTAATTGAGCAATTGTGAATTTCTTTTCACTAAGGCCAATGACACATGGCTTGGAGATCGACACCAACCGATTTTATATCATAATTTCGTCCTTGTTTTCAATCCACTTTTTTCTATTTGAAAACCATGTGATTTGCCTTTTTTTTTTTCATCTCAACCTATGTTTGTGGAGAGAACTTACCTACATGTCATTGTAGTACTATCCCGAGCCAATCACCCATTATCATGTATTTTAACTTTCTGATATAGCAATGCAACTTTTCGAGTGGTCCATTTTAAAAAAAAATAATATGAAAAAGGTAAAAACTGGCGTATACTATAAATTTATCATTTTTTAATATGGAATGTTTATGTATAATACCTTCTCTCTTTCTTTTTGCCGGTAAGTTGGTGCAAGTTGATTGATTGATCTCTTCTTTTTTCTTTTTTTGTTTCCGAAATTTTACAGATTGAAACCCTTTATATAAACGCGTTATCTTTTGATTCCTCGGTTTATGTTGAACGAGTGCATAATTTGATTTGATGGGATCTTGGATAATCAATTTCTACCTTTTTAAGGCTCCTGCAAATTTGTGGAAACTGCATGGGAGGTTTCTTTGTCCATACATTTTTGGTATTTCACATTAATTACGTTTTGGATAATCAAAATTGTAAATCAGTACCTAGACTGGTGCTGAAACTGAAGTTTAGAGATTTACATGACATGCGGTTTCATCTATATTTTCTATCAATCCAAACACGCGGCTGTGCGCATTTACATTTACTTTCCAGTTTAGATATCTAGAATTCAATAACACACACACACACGTTCTCTTCTCAGTGCTACTACTATAAATACCTCTTATTGTACATCGCTATCATATACCAATTCAAAATTCTCTTTAATTTCCTCAACCATGGGTATGTGCACTTTTTGCTGTTGCTCCATCATCCTTGTGGCCCTAGTTTTTTCCCTAGGCATCACCGGTTTTGTGTCCTGGATCATAGCTGGCTTTGTTCGTGTTTCTCATTTGAAACGGATCAACTACCAAGTGACCGATGCCTCACTTCTCCAATTCAACTTGACAAACAATAACACCACCCTTGAGTACAATCTAGCCCTCAACATAACCCTTCAAAACCCTAACGACAAGATTGGTCTCCACTTTGACCGAATCGAAGCCAGTGCCAGTTTCATGAAGCAAACCCTAAATAATGTTAGCTTGAGCTCCTCCTCCTACCTAGGGCACAAGAAGACGGTAGTATTACCGGCATTGTTCAAGGGGCAGCGGCCAGTGGCTTTCGGGGCTGATGAGGTCTCCAACTTTAAGAATGCTGGGGATTTTGATATTCTGTTGAACCTAGATGTTAAGTACACGGTCAAGTTTCTTGCATCGAAGGTTAAAATTAAGCAACCCCATATAGCATGCTCTTTGAAGGTCCCCCTGAACAACGGGAAATCTGCCGAAGGTTTTAAGGTTACGCAATGCAAAGCTCAATCATCGGACAAATAATAAGTTAACTCATTGCTTATTGTTCTTCCCTTCTCTAATCTAATTTATGATTATAATAATTGGCCATGCATGGTAATGCGATTGGCTTAGGTTTATGTATAAGCCGAATTATTATGTTTATGTTGCTCGAATTAATAAATTACTTTTTCATGTGTTGATATGATTAGCGTATAATTCTTTTTTGAGAAATTCTAGAGTTGTATTTATAATTCGGATAAAATGAGATTTTTTTTTAATTATAGTACATGACAAAAATACAACAAAGTAAGGTACCTTATAACTTGTAAATCAAGCAATCTGTGGATGTGTACATAATCTGCCATATACCTTGTGGATGGTATGGCATATGAATTACGGGTGGGTCCAAAAATATGATTGATTGTGCACGTAGGATGGCTATCTCTGTACATATGGCAACTACTCAATTGTAAAAGGATATATATATTCTTTTCAAGAAGATAAAAGAAAGTGGGGCCAATATGTTTGGTATTTATGTTGACTAGTTCATAATAAACAACGGTCACGGTTTTATCTCTTGATATCAAAAGTTGTGTGTTACATGCCGTCCACAACATATATACACACAACACAAAAAAGGGGAAAAAATTCCCAGGAAGAGCCACACGTCCATATTATTAAACATTATTTGCTCTATACGTGGTATTTCTCAATATTCACGTTGGATAATTTGAATGTTCATGCTCCATCCGTCGGTGATAATGACCTTTAAGAGCACTTTCATTTATTTGTCATGGCAAAAGGCAAGGGGAGGCAATCACCGGCGGACCCATGAATGTTTTAGTGGAGGTGCAATTTTGAAATACTAAAAACTCTTTATTAATTGAACATCTAAGACTTTTTACCTAGATTGACTTTAAATCCCTTCATTCATTCATATGATACATGAAAAATTATTTTATGTAAAAATATTGACTAAGTATGAAAAATAATTTTTCGCAATAATTATTTTCTCAAGATAATTTTTGGCTACTTTTATTCCTTACACATCAAATAAGAAAACTTAATTTTATGAGATTTTATTATGAAGTATATATTGACTTAATGAGCCATTATTTTTAGCCTAAATCGTATTTTACACTAAGACCGATTTTTCATATTTGATTTGGTGGGAGTTTGATTTTCTAGTATTTTTATTTGAATCCAAATGGGGGGTACTTCCTTATTTACATTGAGGGGAGGTGCAGCTGCACCTCCTTGCGCTTTAATAGGTCTGCCATTGGAGGCAATAACTGTTATTATTCACGTGAATAGTAGTAGCCCTTGCAAAAGATTTGTTGTGTTTCTACCCATTGTCATGGCAACCTAAGGACAACTACTATTCACATGAGATATAAAAAGGTGAATTTGTATAGAGTTTTGGTGTGAGAAGTAAAGAATATGGCTAAGTATTTATATATATATATATGTAGAGCATTCTCTTTTGGCATAGGAGCCTTCTAGGCCTACTGACTCTTATCTAAAAGGGCATATCGAGATCCCTTAGCCCACAAAGCCTTATATATACATTTTGATTTTTTTTCCTTTTTTCAATTATTTTTTGGTTATTTAAATTGGATGATGACATCATCATTACATCACTAGCCTAGGCAGCAACACGAGCTGATTCTGCCTGAGGGATTGCCCAGGTTGGTGGGCCCCATGTGGGCTAGGCCCTGTCCTGCCCGAGCAAAAGGCCTTCTGCTGGAAGTGCCCTAAAAGTCATATTGTTATTTGGTGTTACTAATTCTTGACTAGATGAAAATGTTGATATTTAATGGACGTAGGTATACACATGGTATAATAATTAGATTAAAAATATCACGGAATAACTTGATAGTCACTATAAAAAAAATCTATAAATTAATATATTATGTACGGTCCCTCGTTATGATTAATATTGTCTATCTTATAGAGTCTTTTTTAAGCCCAAAATCTCTATGGAGTTTTTTTTATCTAATTCAAAATCTTTAATGCAACCCATTTGAGTTTGTTTATAACATTGTTTTGCCTATAAACCCTTCAAGTAAGATAAATTTAACTTATTCTATTTTAAAATTCTGAGTCTGTCCTCGAAAGAGATTGAAGTTTGTATCCATATACATGATCCTTATAACATGCATCATTGATTTGATAATTTGAACAAGAAAGAGTGAAATGAAATAGTGCTCCATCCGTCGGTGATCATAGTCTTTCAGAGCAGTTCCATCCATTTTTGTAACCAAAATAAAAAAAAAGTGAGAGAATAAGGGAAACCGAGGAGGCAGCATTATGAACCTAACTCTACTCACACGAATAATCTGAATGTCAGAATGTCCACACACTTGTTCCAATCAGATGGCGATGGGACCTGTGGGGACCACATATGTACTCATCTGACTGACACGTCAAAGTAAAAAAAAAATCAAAAGGAGGGGGCAGTGGGCTTTTTTGACGAAAAAGATTTGAAATCAGAATCAATGGTCCCCCAAGTCCCATCTTAGTCCCAAGGCCCCAAACTCTCCACACCCTCAACCTCAATCCTCAAACAAGTCAAGTCATTGCCCCAACCCAACCCAACCCAACCCATGTCACACAAAACCCACGTCTATCTCACACGTGTCATTAATTAATTGAAAAAGGCATTTTTCTTTTATATATATTTATATTTCTTTTTTTTTTTTTGGTCAATATATATATCTATATTTCTATATTTCTATATTTCTATTTTCATAATGTATATCCAACATACAATACAAGCCACTAGAATTTTGGCATATGCACATTTTCTCTGCTCGAAATTCAACCCTTCTAGTCACAAACATGGAAAAAGTCCTCCGGTACAGAAGTTTTGCACCCATCACGGTGATGTGGTACGAAGTTGTTCTATGCCCATCATGCTATAGTGTGGCGACAAAGATTTTTCTTTCTTTCTTTCTTTATTAGCCTTTCGGTACGTGTTTTTGCGCTTGCGAGAGTTTTTTTTAAATTTTTTTTATAAAAAATAAACTTTATTTTAGAATTAAAAAAAATAATTGGTAGTTGTGTTTTATTTGTACAGGATATATTATTTGAATTTTCTTTTACTTTTAATTTTTTTAATATGAAAAATATGAATTTACTATATTATCCTCATTTAATTAATAATTGTAATTTTTAATATTTGCATTAACCAAAAACATTTTTTGATATTTTGA